GCCGGGGGGACCCGGCCTGGTGTACCTGGGTAACAGCCACATGAGGCCAACCGATCGACAGGAGACAGTTACCGTAATACAGATATAATTTCCAAATTTCGTCGTAGGTGGGATTTGAACCTTAGACCTGCCACTTAGAAGATGACAATCCAACCACTACACTAGGATCGCCATCCTTATTATAAAATTATAATAAAATATTTTTGATATAATTATTATATAATTCTTTAATTTTGAAATATGATAATCTAATGAAATAGTCAGGTTGTTAACCTTCTAAGTGGTAGATTAAGTATTCAAATCCTATTAATAGTAAAAATTTAGATAATTACCTATATAATCTGATATTATAATAATTGTTTCTAATAATTAGATTAAGATATCTGTAATTATGATCGTATTAGCATAACTAACAGGTCATAAAGTATCTGTGTAATTTATTATACAAAGAAATACAAAATAACAAATCAGATGATGCAAACACAAAATAAGTCCTTATAATCATATAAACCTATAGAAATTAGAAAACAAGAAATCTATTTAAAAAAACCCAAATAGAGAGATAATATGAATTTTTAATAGTACTAGTATAAAGACTAAATCTAAAAAACAAATACTAATGATAAAGTAACCAAGTGAATAAGAACCTCTAAGTTGGAAATCTTGAAGATATCATCAATCAGGTTACTGGATCAGATCAGAGAAAAAAGATATTAGACTAATCTAATATACTAATAAACTGATCATAATCTTATATAGACTATTTGGATTAAGAGTTTGATAAAGAAACAGAAGTATACTAAAGTATTAGAAATATGCTGTGAAGTAGGTACTAAGGTCTGAGTAAACTCTACAAAGACATAACAATTTAATGATTAGCCTTGACTGCAAATGTTGATTCTGTTATAATAATATTTAGGTTAACTACAAAAATGAATAAACAACAAGTTTACCTCAAAGATAAAAATGTTATAAGATTGAGATGAAAGATCTAGGCTCAATTTAGTGAAGTAATATAGAACAGGTTCAAAGGGTTTAAATGAAACATCCAAGCAGAAGTGTTAGATACACCAATTAGTGAAGAACATTAAATGGACTCTTTAAATAGATAATATAAAAAGTTACACAAATGACCAATTTTACACTCTTCCTGTAGTAGCTTCTTACGGAACTACATTCCTTAAATAAGTTAATAAAATCAAAAGACCAAAGAGGTCACCTTAATACCAAAAAAAAAAAATCATAATTCTTTAATTTTAATTAAATTAATTTAAAATACGTAATTTGATGTAATTTAAATAATTTGATTGGTTATTATTTTATGTGACATTGATTATATTGATTGGACGATCAAAATCGGTAATTTTCGGCAAATCTGCAATTTTGTGTAACAATGGATGTTCCCTCCTGTTTTTAAGGTTAGGGTTAGCTTATGTTACACGACAGGTTTACCTTAGTAAAATTACATTTTTTCGGGTGATGATAATTGGCTGATTAGATCTTTGGTCCAAACAAAAACTTTTTTGAGCGATGGATTCAGAAACATATATAGCAAAAACTTCTGTCTTGACACCTCATAAAATATCTTTGCTTGTTCTGCTTTCTATATACTTTGAAACTGCTATCGAAGATGATTTATTAGAAACACTTTTATTCTTTTTGATAGAAAAAATATCAAATGAACATCGTTTTCCAGAGCCAACACTGCAAGAATTTTGTGATGAAATTCACCAAAGGACGTGTCCCTTGCCAAAGGTGTGCACTGAAACTCAACGTGAATGTAAATCATCATTAGAACAAGCTTTACTTATGCACCTAGTGTCAATGGATTCCCCTCACGATTTAATTGAACTGATAAAAGATTCTAAAAAATTAACAACAAACGAAGAAAATGATTGTACTCCAATTCCTCTTGGAAAATATAGTATATTAGGAATTTTCGTTAGACGTTGTTATATTGAAAGCGAAAAGTTGATGTTTGACGATATTAGCAGGTTATACAATGCATTTGTTAAATATAAGACGGACAAAATTGTACTGTTCTCAAAAAAAGGAAAAGAAAGCATGGATTTTTGCTACAAGTCGGGAGAGTTCTCTTCCATTCTTTCAGAAGTCACACATCGCTACCATATGTGCAAACAAGATCTTATCGCCAAGTGTGATGCAGAATCCTTTTCACATTACATAATTACTCAGCTTCGCAAATATGGAGGTATCTTACCTCCTGAACTTGAAAGTAAACTTCGGGTGATACATAAAAGAATGCCCGAAATATCTACAATATATTATATTGATTATGTTAATTGTATGCAATCCGGGGAGTACGAGGGTGCGCTGACAAATTTTTACAAATATTCAAATTTTTGCCCAGAAGACGTAGAGAACCGGTGGGTTGGTATACGATTTATTTTGCATACAATGAATTATAACATATAACACATAAGCTTTACAACCACAACTGTAGGAATTGGTATCAATATGTTTTATTGAATCTGGTGGTCCTTCATGCAAAATTCGGACACAGGGAGCAGGCATTATTGGTTCGTACTATATATAGTATTTTCTGGCATAATAATAAATTACTAATTTATCGAGTTAACAGGCTATTCGTGAAGCAATAGAAATGGCTCGAGAGAATAATGACCAAGAGTGCCTTCGTTTTGCATTGAGGTAAACATTCTTTCTTGTTGCATTTACTTCAAATATGGCTCAATCGTAACTAAAGATATAAAAATTGTAGCTGGTTATATCGGCTCAAGTCAAATGAACCGACTTCCACAAAACGGGTAGACGCGACTGATCAACAGATGCTCGATTCACTAATTAGCAAAGCTAAACAATCCAACTTCATTTATTTGCAATCTCTTGGGGAACTTGGGAACTCTCAACGTCAGATTCAACAGGTGGAATATAACATATCTAAAAAATTTAATTGAAAATTTAAACTATAATTCTACGAAGCTTCAGCATTAATTTTTTGGTAAACCTCAGGGCGCGTCACCAACGGAGGTTTTTGAATCTTTACTTCGAAGTTCTATTTTGAATATGAATTGCCCATTCAAGACCATGCGCTTCCAAGGGCAACTATTAAATGCAAGTGTATGGCAAATTTATGGTATTTTAAGATTCATTCAAGTAATTATCTCGTATTAGTCCAATCCATTATTAAAGTTATTTTTGACTCTAGGCAATGTTGCGCTATCTGCCTTGTATTCATCAGAAGTTATTGACCATTCTGATACTAGTCCAGAAGATCTTGTAACTGCCTATTGTCAGATGGCGGATCTTGTAATATCTCATTTTATTTAAATTCATATATCGTACGAAAACATCAACCTAGTTTTTTTGGAGCATAATAATTACACAGGCGTATCCGTTTTTTGATAGCATGTTTCATATGGAAATTATGAACAAGCTCTTAAATTGCTTGAAGAATCTAAAGAAAAATTCCTTGGAATACGTAGAGCAGCTTTGCAATGGGTTGTTTGCTTAGAAAAAGTCTTATATCAGAAGTGCTTTGCAAGGTAAAATGTTTCCATTACTATTAACTTTTTTTTTATTAGGCGTTTGTTAGATAATTTACGCAAATTATAATTCACCAATTTTTAAGAGATGAACGTGCAAGTATTGAAGCACTAGAGGTGCAACTTCGTGGAAGTTGTCAGGATGACGAAGTTTTGCAAGATGACTTTAATTATAATCGAGCATTGTATCTGGCAAGGATTGATAGACCTGATGAAGTGAGACATATTTATTGAAAGTACTTTATTCTTCGAACTTAACCGTTAAAATATTTTAAATAAAGGAATTAATTTGTAGGCAATGGATCTTTTACATGAACTTATGCAAAAAAGTTCCAGATTAGGTTCTCAAAACCAGATGCTGATTGCCAATTATTATCTTAAACTTGCTGAAATCCGTATAGTATGTGATTTATGTTTGAACACTATTTTAATTAAATTTCAAAAATTGAACGACTCTTTATAATTTTGATATAGGAAACTGAAGATCCAACTTCTGCATTACCTTATGTTCTAAGTGCCTTATGTATAAGTGAACGATTTCATCATCAAAATTGTTATTTCATGGCGAAGATACGGCTTGCGCAGATATTGCTTCATTTTAACTTGGCAACAAGAGCAAAAATCATGATTGAAAACATCATGCCTGTTGTAAGTTAAATGTATGGTTTTCCTCTTAAAAATTTCTTCTCTAAATATATTTTTTATGCGGTCACTATTTATAGATTTTGGCAGAACACACCTTGCGCATGCAATCAGTAGGTCATTTTATTTACGCTCAATGCCTTCTTGGATGTATTACTCAGGACATAAGAGGTAACGACTCTATTTATTGAAAGAGAATTGAATGCTGAACTAATATTTAAACCTTATAGCTCAACGCAAACAATCCATACCGTGGGATGATGTTTTAATTCCTCTTCGCCGTGCACAGACAGGCAGGTATCATTATGTTTTGCTAACTATTCGTAAATATTGTGCATATTGCTTTACAATGATCATTTCGTCTTTTTTTTGTTTGGCTCAAGTAGGCTTCCAGCGTTTAGAATCTATCTCTGAACTGATCGATGTTGTGCAAGTAATAGTATATGTTTACAATGCGTCTGGCGATTTGGTTCAGCGTGATAATGCAGCTAATCAGTTCAAAAATTTATATCTTAAACAACAAGAAAGCCAAAGAAAGCAACCAGAATTAGATATAATCTATATTACTAAGTGACATCGTCACTTAGCAATATAGATTACATCAAATTCTGGTTGCTTTGGTTTAAGATACAAATTTTTGAACTGTTCGGCCTCATATTGGGGGTGCAATCTACCAATAAAATCAAAGTTATGCATAGATGTATATCAAATTGTATAGTGAGTAAATCGATCTTCATTCCGTAGTATAATAAATACATATAAAAAATTGTTCTAGTATTTTGGTGTAATCAACGACTTGTCTTTACTAGGGTACGGAACGAGCCGTTGGGGTGTTCGATGCACTATGTAATCAACTATATATATAGTCTAATAGTAAAAACTATCAGTGAAATTTTTTTTTTCGTGTAATAATGTTGATCTATATTAAATGCTATTATTGTGGTTTGCAAAATTATATGAAATTTGATCATTAAAAAAGTAATCACTAATTTCCGATTTCTTTATTTTTTTTTTAACTTCTAAACTAGGCAAAATTTTGCGTATTTATCATTTGCAAAAATTTGATTAAATATTTCAATGCGCAACTCTATTTCTGCAAATATATTACAAAATGATGAATATGCACCTTTTATTTTATAAAAATAATAAAATTGTTACCAAATAAGAAATATGCTAATTTTGTCTAATATGGGGTGCGGACAATAGAAACAGCCCATTTTTACATTTTTTTAAAAAGCGAGTTTTTATTATATTCATGTAAATTTTGACATGGTTGACATTTTTCAATTATAAATGAAAGCCAATTTGCATAATAAAATGTCGAGATAATGTAGAAGACAAATACACGAAGCTGCGTAGGGCCAACACATCACGAGATTACCCGATAGTTACCTGTTGCCTTTAACCAATCAAAATCGTGAATTTTGATTAATCCCGGAACAGTCCATTAGGGATTTTTTTTTTTTTTAATGATTTTTAATTTCGCAAATCACAATAATTCTAAAATTTTAAAAATTTTAAGGGTTATATAAAATTTAAAAAGATATAATTTGAAATTTAATAGTGTTTTCATAAGATATTAAAATTTTATCTAATTTAACAGATTTTTATTTTAATAAAAAGAAATAATTTTTTTAAAAAAACATTAACATTGATCTTTTGCTCAATAATAATAAAAAATTAAATTACAAAAAATGTTATAGCAAAACAATATGTATTTATAATTCTATATGAAATAAGTGTTTGTTAATAAATTAAAAAATGTAAAATATTATGAAGTGGATGTATTTGTGATAGCTTGAAGAAAAATTGATTTTTTTTTAAATAGATTTTTTTAATTTGATATTTAAATCAAAAAGTTATTTTAAAAAACATAATAGACAATTTATAATTAACTTTTTTTAACAATCACTTGAACTAAATTTTCCAAAAAGCTAAACTACAGTAAAATGATATAATTAATATATTAAACTTTATGAAAACCTTTTTGGAATATTATACATACATTGTTAAACATTGAAATAGAGTTGAAAAAAAATTGCAGTCTTGTGGTGATAGTTTAAAAAGCATTCTGAGACTATAGAAGAAATAGTTGGTAAAAGTCAAGGTTTCTTATTAAGTAAACAACAAAGTTGAATATATTAGTTCTATACAACTATAAAACTTACAAGAAACATTCACAAAGGTTTAGAACTCATAAAAGCTAAAAGTTGGTTTATCTAATACTTTCATTTTTTTTCAAAAAATATTTTGTAAAAGTAGATGATTCAGTTTACTCCTTTCTAAATATTAACATGTAAAATTACCAAAACAGTCAGCAGTGTTTATTTCTTAAATAAGATTATTGACAATGTAAATTAGAAACAATACAATGATATAAACACAACTATATATGTATCTCAAACTACTAGAAATCTGTTAAATACTGCATCTAGACTAACTAGTATTCTATACTGACCCTCTATAATAAAATCAAAGTTTTTTTCTCTTTTTTAGTTTTTTATTTAAATAATCTAAGTAAATAGAAAGATAATAGAATAATTCTATTTAATATAGTTTATAATTTTTACAAGCCTAACATAAGCTTATAATTGTGGTTGTCTAATATCTGTGAATTGCAAGTTTTATGCCCAATATAGACTTAAAACTATAATCATCTGAATTTTTGTAAATCGCAAATTTTACATTTTTCTTTTTTCTTATTTATCTCTTTTTCCTCTTTTATTTCTTGTTTTGTATCTTTTATTATTTATTCCTTTATCTTTGTTTTTTTGCTTCTCTATAAGAAGATGTTATTAGATTGATGATACCATATTCATGCGTAATAGCAGGCTGGAATGTTAATTCAAATTTTGATTTTTTTAAAAATTTGGCTATTTTGTTCAAAATATCGCTCATGCATATTTCAAAATAGCATGCATCTATTTTTTTTTTTTTATATAATTTAATTATTTTTTAATTAAATTCTTTTTATAATATAAATAACAAAAAAACACAATAGTGAAGTAGTCAGATTGTCAACCCTTAAGTGGCAGGTTTGATAGATTTGTTGATTAAGATGAAGTAAAAATTTAGTAATAAGTGTTATAGATATTTTTGTAGATAATAAGTCTGTGATTATAGTAATGATTTTATTTGGTACTAAGCCTAATAGAGTTGAGAAAATTGAAGATAGGTTTGGTATATTGTGATTGGACATGCAGTTTAGTTGTTTGATTTGATGATATAAGTTAGTTATAGTTTTTGAAGTAGTGTTAAGAGTAGTGGTATTAAGAATATGTTTTTTTTTTTTTTGGTATTAAGGTGATCTCTTTGGTCTTTTAACTTTTATTAATCACTTATCAGTATTGTGGTTCAATGAATCACTACAGAAGAGTGTACAATTGGCTACATATGTAACTTTTCTATATTACCTATTTAAGGAGTCTGCCTGAAGGTTTTCTACTAATTGCCATACCTAACACCTCTGCTTGAGTATTTCACTTTAAATCTCTGAACCTGTAACCTGTGTTAACATTACTAGGTTATACTCAGATGTTCAGATCATCATCTCAACCTTAGGACTAATTTATTCTCAAGGTAAACCTCCCAGAGCCTTCTGTACCTATTTTTACAGCTGACCTAAGTATTACTATAGCAGAACCAATACTTGCGGTCAGAGCTAACTATTAAATCATTATGCCCTTGTAGAGTTTACTTAGACCTCAGCATCTACTTCACAGCATAACCCTGATACTTTAGTATACCCCTGCCTTTTCTCCTGCCTTTTTACCAAACTTCCAATCCAGATAGCCTGTATAGGACTATGACCAGTTCATCGGTATATCAGGTCAGCCTGATATCCTTTTTCTCTGATTCATTCTGGTGGCCTGGTTGGTAATACCTTTAAGACTTTTCAACTCAAAGGTTCTTGTCTGTCTGCCTACTAGGACCGGGTACTAAACCTAGGTATCTGTTTCATCAGGCTAGCCTTTACAATAGGGCTGTCGAAAATCCAGCTACCTCTCTACTTAGGTCTTTCCAAATAGACTTTTTGTTACCCAATTTTAACAGATTTATACAGCCACAAGAACTTATCTAGTGTTTGCACTGTCCAATGTGTCAGTTTGCATTCCTCTGTGTAACTCCAACATTGCACAGATGCCCTATGACCTGCCAGTCATGCTGGTGCAACTGCCATTACAGATATCCTAACCTAACTATTAGTAATAGTTGCCATAATATGAATATTACATAGGTAATTATCCAAATTTTCATCATCGATGGAATTTAAACACCCAACCTATCACTTGGGAGGTTGACAACCTGACCACTTTACTAGGTCGACACACTCTGTATTAAGAGTATGTTGTAATAATTTATTTATAAGATTATTTAATAATTGATCAGATAGGCAAGTTGTTCAATGAAGGTAAGAGCTGATGTGTTGATATTGGTAACAGGTAGGTAAATATGAGTGATAACGTTTGTATAAAGTGTGTAGGACAGGAACTTTATTCAGTAAAATTTTAATTTTAAAAGACTTAAGAGTAGATGATAGAAAGCTATATGAGAAGTTTGAATTTTTTTATTGTTATTGATGTATAGCCAAGTGGCTTGCCAGTTGATTTGATTAAGAATTTTTTTCCATTTAAGAAAGTGGTTTTGAGTGATCCATAGTGCATAAATATGTATATGATAAATTGTATGAATATTGTGATAAGTTGGTAGTTTAAGAAAAAATTTCTCAAGAATAAGAGCATAAGCTAGATTATAAATATTATATGACATGAAAGTAAGATATGACAAGTTATAATAATTATGTGCAAATTGATCAGCTAAATTATTGCATATATTATCTTGATAAGCAATGACTTTGTGAAAGATAATTTGAATTTTATATGAGTTGATAAAGTTGATAAGTATGTTTCAAAGTGAAAAGTATAGTGTTTAGCATAGTATATTATATAGTAGTATTAGTAGTTATATATATTTATTATTGTATTTTATATTTTATATTTATTATTAGTTATTAGTTACTAATTAGTTAATAGTTATTTTATATAGTAGATAGATAAAAGGATTTTAATTGGCTATTAGAAATGTGGTACAGCCATATGACACTGAATAACATCTATGATGTTACTACTATCTTACAAATTCCAAGTACCTTTATACAAGTTCATGTATCCTAGCACCAAATTACTATGCCAAATATTATAGCACAAGAATTTCAAATATTTTCAACATAACCTTAAAGTGTTTCTGTATGAACCCCAAGTATCTCTATATAAATTTCAAGTACTTTTGCATAGATTCAAGTGTCTAAATATAAGCTCTAAATGTTTCAAGCACAAATGACAAATAACATAAACAATACCTTCAGTTGCCTCTGCACAGTCTCTACTACTCCAAGCACAGTATCATTTAATGTTGTTCAAATCTCTATTGTCTCAAGTACAATGATATCTAATATTGTTTGAATCTCCATTACTCTAAGTATAGTATCAAGTAATGTTGCTCAAATCTTCACTATTACTGCTAGATAAAAAAATATATAAAGGGTAGCTTTTATTTCTAACTTATAAAAATAAT